TCTCTCTCTCTCTCTCTCTCTCTCTCTCTCTCTCTCTCTCTCTGTGTGTGTGTGTGTGTGTGTGTGTGTGTGTGTGTGTGTGTGTGTGTGTGTGTGGAACTCTCAACTTCTTTGACTATGAGGATCATACCCTGGATGTATCCGCCTTCCTACTTGTGCTCTACTTCTATCACTACTACCACGGCTATGGCCCCATGCCTTCCACAGCTTAGCGCAGCCCAACATGGCTGGCGCTCACTCAACTCACGATAGTGCACAAGCACCCAACATCGCTTCCACCTTCTCACGAGTGAACAATCTGTTTGAATGGCACTGGGCCAGTCCTTTTATGTTGACTGGACTGGGACTTGGTCTGGGCCTGACTTGGCTGATACATTCCGCATTTTTCTTGGAGCGCTGCTGGATTTTTAACTCTAGGACTCAGCTGGGAGGCCGGGTACCGATTGCAATTTGACCTTTGTGGCTTGTGGTGTACCCGACACGACCTTTTCCTGCTTCGGTCACTTCGTCCTCTTTTTACTTGGGGACCTTGAGCCTGGGACTCGAATCTTGGGTCTGCAAAGTGAAGGTCCTTTCACTTCCATTGGAAACAGGAGAAACAGGTGGCACCTTCAGAGAGTCCTATCACCTGGACAAAAGTGACTCCATGCAGAAAGAAGTGATTGACTGACTCAGCAAGTACCAAGGGGTAGTGCACATCCACAAGGCGAGGGGGTAGGCATAAGGCTTGGTGAGATTATACCTACTCCAGCTTGGTCAAAGTCAAAGTCTTGGTCAACGCCACTGGTCAACGCCGGTCCAACTTGGTCAATGCCCGGTTAAACTTTGTCAGTCAACGCTTTGGTCAACGTCGCCGGTCAACTTCTTTGACCTCCGGCTATGGCTGCCGACCCTTCTCCTTCGCCAACCTCTCTCTCTCTCTCTCCTTCCCCCTTCTCTCTCCTTCTCCTTTGCCCACCTTGGCTATGGCTTCCTTCGTCTCTTTCGTCTCTTCTCCCTCCTTCCTCCTCTCTCTTCTTCGTCAATTTGGTCCTCTCCTTCCTCGCAAGGTCCGAGCTTGGCGGCTATAGCCGCCACTTACTTCTTCAAGGCTGGCGCACCAATCTTCTATCGCTCCTCTCTCTCTCTCTCTCTCTCTCTCTCTCTCTCTCTCTCTCTCTCTCTCTCTCTCTCTCTCTCTCTCTCTCTCGTGTTTGTCATCATCGTCTTTCTTTACTCTCCCCTGATCTCTGTTCACGTGGCGCGGCAACTATAGCCGCTCTTCTTTTTCTCTTTGGTACAACGGCTTGGCAAGGCGGTTCTCTTGGCGTGGGTGCCTGACGGTCTTCGCTTCGTCACGCGGTGGTCTTCCATCAACAGTGCAGCGATCTTCTTCTTCGATCGCGGCAGGCCTCCTCTCTCTCGGTGACGACCTTCACTCCGACGAGCGCGCAGGTGCACAATCACACACGCAGGTGCACAATCACACAACAATGCACCACGGAGATGGTGCACGACGATCGGACAGAACGGACAGCAATAGCGCACAATTGTGCATGCAAACGGCAAAGCGTGTGCGTGTACTAGCAAGCAGTACACACAAATGGCGCGCAGCAATAGCAGGAACACATGCGATAGCGGGCAGAGCGCGGCGGACGCTAAAGCTCGCGCAATAGTGGGCATCGGGGCGGTGCGCAGGGGAGATAGCAGCATGTGCAAATGCGCGATCGTGCTCGCAGCAGCAGCGGACACGTAACGGGCGCGTGGGGAAATCAATCACTGGGCGCAAAGCGCCCCTCCCTCTCTCCTCCTTAGTGGGAATGGCGCTGACATGGCGCGTTCTCTCGTTCGGCGCGCAGCGCTTATGTGGCATTCCCCTGATGATGACAACAAAGATGGCGGCAACAGCGGCGATTGCAGTGGCGGAACAGCGGGAACCAGCTCTGATACTAATGCAATCAGACTTGTCTTCTTCGACATCCAGCATGCATGCAAACAGATGACAAACAAGCTGGCGACTTGCGCCGACACAAAGCTCATAGATAACGAAGCCAAGAACACAGTACAGATTCAAACTTGTCTCAATCGGCTATGGCCGATCGCTATGCAGTAACCCTGTTCAGAAGTAGCCTGGGGCCCAGAACTCAGCCCCAGGCAATGTAGACCTGAGTTGGTCTGCGCTGGGCTGTGTGACCAAGACACGCCCAGGCCTCAGTCTGTCACGTTTGGCTGTGTGACCGAACGCTGCACACAGGAAATTCAAGGGCCAAAGTCAACTGTAGAGTCAAAGGTACCACACCCAGGCCCTTGGTTGGATACACTCACTTGTTGCGCGCAGGTACCCAGACAAGCATCCAGGCCGGAGTGAATTCGGTTTCAGACCAATCTGGGCCTTAGTTTGCATCGAAATCTGGACGGCTGAGGGTGGTAGCATCCGGGGCCCAGACCCCAAGTCAACGCTACATAAGTGCTGACTTTCCTGGCTTTGACATTCATTTTGTCTTACGTCAATGCTGTCTTCACGCGTTGACAACGACTCTGGCTCGACGCTGCGAAGCTGGCTGAGCGCTGGCTCTGTGCTGGCATTGTGTCTACGGCGATGCGCTGCTGGTCTGGCATTGTGGTTGGCTTGCACCTGTCTTCTTGGCATGCTGATGTGGCAGCTGCCATGCGCTGTCGCTGACGTGGCTGCTGCCACGTGTACTACTGGTTGGTGAGGCGAAGCTATGTGACTTGTGTTGCTGTTCTGATTATCGTCATTCAAGAGGAGATCAAGACTGTGAAGAGATCGTGGATACTTACCTGGTTGTCTTCATGTCGACATTGCTCCATCGCTGATGAGGGACTGACTAGAAGTGCGACGTGGCACATTGAGGTTACTTCAGATACTCGTTCGGATTATTGATTATTGAGGTGGTGATTGCGGAGGGAGCCCGAAGAAGCAGTGGGCATTGTTTCTATCTTCCCCACTCTAGTCTTTCCTCCCTCTCATCTATCTCGTCTGTGTATGTCTTCTCTTCTCTTGGGTATCTGGACACGAATACGATTATTGATAATCATCAGCTGGTTGACACTCATTTGGACTTGCATTGTTGACAACTGTCTTCACGATCTGGGTTCATTGCAACTGTACCCAGCAACTTGTTCACACACACGCAACTCTGGATCTCCCTGGATGTCCGGCACACACAAATACAACACACTCATACACACCCACCCACACACTAACTACACTGACTGGCAGCTATGGCTGCCGTCTACCTCCTAACACTAGCTCAAGCGGCTATGGCCACGTCTTCCTCCTCTTAGACCACTTCCTCTTTGGGCACTTGCAGACCTCCGTACACAAGACGCACAGACAGCGCTTCCACACGGCTCACAGGCAGAATGAATGAATGACATGATGCTGCCTCTTTATTTATACTTCGAATCGTTAAAGGTCTGCCCTCTGGCCCTGGGCCCGGGGTGCACACAGTCCCTCATGGTACCTGCTGACTGGACAAAGTGCGACCTGGGACTGGGTACCGCTGACTAGCCTAGGTTAGACTGCCCACTTGCCCACTTGTCTACGGACTGCCTCCTAGGACTTACGAAGGGGTAGAGTTGACTCATCTAGAAGGTCCTAGTCTAGCCTATGTGACCTTTCGGTACTGTAGCAGCTACTACCTGAGTGACCTCTCGATACTGTAGCAGCTACTCGACTCCTAAGACAATGACCTACAGTTTGAGACCCGACGACCGACCTACCTGCAATGACTTTCAGAACGCAGGTCGTGGGTTCAAGCACACACGGGTCAACTGGTATTGTACATGGAGGGCGAGGTCTAGGGATCGAGCCCTGGGAACTGCCTCTGCTACCGTAAAGGTGAGAACAGTTTCAATTTTCTCGATTTATTCATCTCATCCTTTGGAGGTCCCATCGTAATATTCTCTGTATCATTCCAATTTGATCAGATTTCCCGAAAGACTTGGCTCTTTTTTTGTGTAAGGTCTGTTTTCTTTGTGTTTTTCCTTCTTGGCCACCTGAATGGAAGAGGAGGGAGGCATAGGAGAAGGACGTGCTGGAGTAGGAGGGCCATGCCCATGGAAAATGGGTACAGCGCAGTATTTATACCGGCAGTGAGATGCGCCCACGGAAGATTGGTGCCCAGTTCCCGCTAGGACACAGAGGCAGAGAGTCGCAGGCGTGTTTGCCCCCGGCCGTAAGGCGTGCTGAATAACTTGTTATTGATAAAGCTGATACCTACTATTGTCTTTTGTCTTTAAAGAAGCTATTTCTTTTCAATCTGTGGACCGTTTGCTTTTGCAGGTCTCTTGCTGACCAAGGTGCAGATGGAGCGCTTGATCAATTTGAGTTCAAACTGTTCATGCTTCTCATGAAGAGGGTTGCTCACAGCCTACCTTTGCCTCAGTCCGTGTCTGCTTTCCAAGTGAGTTGGCTTCTGGGACAGCGCTTCTTTCTGTGTCCTGCAGCCCCCCCTCCTCCAGACTCGCTCTCCACAATCTTTGGCAGCACTGTCAACCCCCGACATGTATCCCCAACTCCACAGTCATCAGCATTGGATCCGTCACTACCACAGTGGTCCTCCTATGGCAAAGCGCTGATGCCATCAAGAGTGAGTGACCCATCATCATTCCTGATTGATACAGATAATGACTCTACGAAGGAGATCTCATGGCAGGAGCAGATTGTTCGGAGGGTCGGAAAGGAGGCATCACTGTTCAAGGAGAACATGTGGAAAGAAAGAGTCGATCGGGGAGTAGAGCGGGATGATGAGGGAACCTCATCGCTTGGTGATGATGATGGAGACGAAAGTTGCAACATGGATTTGGAGAGTGAAAGGGCCGAGAAGCAGCTAGCACGTAGTGCTAAAGCTGAAGAAGGCAGGATAGCAGAGGCAGAAAGAATGCCCGAGGAGGCTGCAAACAAGGCAAGTCCAATGGGAGTGACGGCAACGGGAATGTGTGTATGGGGAACAATGCGTGAGTGGGCATTGGCAGATAGTGACAAGAAGGCAACATCAAAGGCTGTGAAAGACGGGGGCAAGAGAAGTCTTACTGTGGATGGGTGGAGGACAGGCATGCAGAAAGGGAAATCACCTGATGTGGTGGAGGCTGGAGGCACAAAGACTGATGCTAAGCCACTGCAGAGGTTTTGGAGCTGGACAGAAAAAAGGCACAGCCTTTTCTCAAGTTCACAGACTGGAGCAGCTGCTTCAGAGGCTTTTGCAACACCTTCGTCTTTGTTGTCACTGTCGTTGTCGTCGTCGGACAAATATAGGTCATGCAGGGCTTTGTCACGGATGGGGAAATCTCAACGGGTTGCAGTAGCCACATCTCCATCTGTCAGCAGAGATAGCACCGACTACCTGCAGTTGTCACCCTCGAGTGCTTCGATCCAGGACCAGTACGGCCTCCCTAGAGAATGTAAAGGTGACTTGCCATCTGGTATGGGCTGTCCAACAGCAAAAGGTCCTCCACCAACATCACCGAGGTGGTTGTCATTCTTCCCATCAGGTTGGAGAGGCGGAGGGAGTGCAGCAAGGAGCTCAGTGGCTGGGAGCAGTGGAGCTGCATTTGAAAACTGGCCAAACACAGGAGGTAGGAACATCTACTCACGCCGGGGATCTCTGAAAGCAATGAAGGCATGCTTGGCAACCACCAGTGGATCCTTTGCTGCTGGTTTCCCAATTGTGAGCACTGAAGCTTCCTCTCAAGTTCCTAAAAGTGATATGCTTTCCTCATGTATCCCGTGCTCTTCTGATCGTGAAAGGGTAAGCAGTTTAGATCCATGTCAAGCATCATCGAGTGGAGAAGAGCATCGTGAAAGGGTAAGCAGTTTAGATCCATGTCAAGCATCATCGAGTGGAGAAGAGCCTGTGGCACCAATAGAAATGGTCGTAACAACAATCACTGCAAGTGAGCATTCAGCTCAACACAACCCTGGTTACATCAGCAATCTGTCTACAGCTCCAATCCCTTTGCATGCATCAGTAGCAGCAGTTGCAGCAGCAGGAGCAGGAGGAGAAGGAGGCGGAGCAGGAGGAGAAGGAGGCGGAGCAGGAGGAATTTATTCAGGGGGATTTCAGGTTGGTGCTCAGTACTCCTCGCCCAACATTCCTCTTCTTCCCCCACCTCCATCTCGAAGACCCTCAGCGACATTGAGGTCCCCTGCCTCAGTCTTTTTATTAGCTGACGAGCCTGACCCTATTTCTTGCATTCAGGTTGTTGCAGTTGGATCTTCTGCGTCTGCATCAGCATGTAATTCTACCTTTAGTGAGCATGGATCTCTTGGTCCTGACCTGGCAGTAGCAACAGGAAAACTGGCAAATGATTCTTCGATTGCTGCAGGAAAGCTGCCAGTTGACTCGTTGTCCTCGAATAGACAGCACACATCGCTGGTGAGAACACCTGATTTGTTCACAGACTCAATGCCAGATATGTCTGAATCAGATGCTCTTTCACGCACTAGGTGGTCAATGTCCGGTGTGCACTCTCCAAAGAGCACTTGCCGATGGACTGCAGTTGTTTCTGATGCATCCGTCGGGCATCGCGATGCAATATCAATATCGATTTCACCATCATTTACATCATCAAATGTGGACAGAGACAACCATGACAACATCCGACTACAGCCATCTGCATCTATTTTACATTCACCATCATTATCTGCTGGATCAGGATTACCACAATCCCAGCCACCTCCACCACAACCACAGACAAAGCTCTGGTTAGGTGTCACAGCAGGGCTCAGGATGAAGGAGGCAGCGCTGAAAGGAAAGGGAGGAGAGGGAGGGGGCTTCAAAGAGCCGGATGGGCTGCAGTGGGACCATAACAGACCGACTTTGGAGTTCTCAACGCCCGTGGTTCCAGCAGCAAGATGGAAAGAGGCAAAGTTGCAGGATGATGAGCCTGAATCCTGGGGTCATCTGGAGCTCCTAAAGCGAATCAATGGTGGATGGCGCCCTCTAATTTTGTGCATTAATCGGTTGGTTCTGGATAAAGCTGACAAGATGAAGGGCCCATTTTTAAGCATTTATGTCAGAGGTATTTGTGTATGGGTCTTACATCCCCCCATAGGCCTCCTTTCCCACTGCATCCCATCCTAGATCGAGATACATCCCGCACCCAAGGTCCAAACCACTCTGAAGCAGTTTGAACTTTCCCAGGGGCTTTCGAAGTTGGAAAAGAATGCCCTGTGCTATGTAATCAGACTTGTCTCATCTTCACTCGCGACATGCATACATGTAGATGTCGATGGCAAACAACTTCTGTAGCACGAAGATCAGCACAAAGATCAGCAACAAACTTGAGATGGCGACTAGCGCCCACACAGAAAACTCAGAGATATGGCCTTCTGCAAGGAACCTGCCCGTTCGTCACTTGCTGGGGTGTATCAAATAACATGCATGTAACATAGATCTCACAGTTTTGAAATGTCCCACACAAAGCTCAGTGGAAGATGAGTGGAAACCAGGAAGCGCAACTCAATTATCACAACCAGATTAAGGAAAGAGAATCACGAGTTCAAAATGTAAAGTGTCCAACAATATTACAAGTCTTCTTCATCCAACAAGAGTTCCAGGCCTGGCGCTCATCAGCACCAGCAGCCAATCATCAAGAACAGCGCTCAGCAGGTAAGTTCCACCATAGCTCACTTCTCTCCCTTCTCTTCTTCTGTTCTCTCTCTCTCTCTCAATGTCTATAGCCCTGGTCTACTGACACTCACCATGCATGCACACTCCCTATCACTCGAGGATCTACTCTGAATACTACTCACTGGTCGTCTCTACTAACTATTCCTACCACTATTACTAATTGGCGCTGGCGCTGCTATGGCTGCTCTTCTTCCAGCCAGTGCTCAACTCTCTCTCTCTCCAGCGCAGCTCTCAAGCCTGGCGCATCTCAATCACATCTGGCGCACAAGTGCCTCAGCACTTCCACACTCTCATGCGAATGAGTATCTGTCAAATGGGAGGCTGGCTAGTCCTTTATAGTGCTGGACTGGTCTGGGGTCGTCTGCATCCAGCCTCCAAGTGCCTGGGACTCCAACCCAGTACCTGTTGTTGCAAAGTGTGTCCCAGTATCCTTTCCCATGGTCTGCTGCTGCTTTGGCCGACGGGCCTGTCTTTTGGACTTCTGGTCTGAATCAGATTTGACCCTCGGGACTGTGACTCGTGTGGGACTGTGACCTTTGACTTATTGCCGAACAGACATGACCCTGTCTCAGCCTTAAAATTGAGCCCAGTACCTGTTCGTCGAGGACCTGACTGTGACTTTTTCAAAACGACTTTTCATTTCACTCTGGATGCGACATTTGCTTCAGGGAGCTTGTCCTTTGGAATGCTGCTCATGAAATTGAGTTCTGCCCGACAGGACCCCTTTTATGTTGGGGTCACATTTAGGGGTCTGAATCGTAAAGGCCCTTTTACTCTCCTCGGCCTGATTTCGAAGTCCTCTGAGAAACACTTATCTGTCTACAATATTAGCACCTCTTCTTGCTCTTTCATAGTAGGACACTATGTTTGGTGCAGATTCCATTAGCTCTTCCCTACTGTACCAGCGGTCTTCACTTGGATCCTGATATGCAAATCTGACTTTATATTGCCGCTGAGGTCTACCTCTGCGCCTAGTTTGAATAGTACTTTCAGCAATGATTTTATCAATATCAAATTTTTCATCCATACTCAGAGGAATTGTTGATCTTCGACTGGGAAATAGTTCATTAGTCACGCAGGGTAAGAGCTTTGATGCATGGAAAGCTAGGTATGTATGCAAGTGTGGAGGAATCTCAATAACGTAGGAGGGACCATCTACGTCTCCTATCATACCCAATACTTGCCAAGGTCCTCTGTAGGCAGGTAACAACTTTTGGGAAATGTTTTCCTCGGGAATAAATTCTTTGGATTTTACCCATACCAGATCGCCTACAACAAATTGAGAAGGTCTTCGATGTTTGTTAGTCTGTTCGATCATTTGATGTTGCGCCTTCATTATATTTTCTTTCACTTTTTCCAAGTCTTTTTGATACGGCACTGCAAATTCCCTAGTTCCTGGCAGAAGTTTATGTACTTGATCCGAATTTAGACAATCTATAGGTTTGCGGGGACACCATCCCAAATGTAACTCCACTGGAGTTCTAGAAGTGGATAAGTGCACAAAGTTATTGTAGGCACTGACAACTTTGGGCAGATGTTCATCTCAATCAATTTGGTCGGGGCGAATGTACATACGTAGCATTTGCTGCAGAATCTTGTTCATTTGCTCAATTTGCCCATTCGTTTCAGGATGTCTTCCTGACAACACCGTTAATTTGGAGCCATAGACATTCATTAGTTGCTGCCAATGTTCACTGGTGAACCAAGAGTCTCTGTCACTAACAATAGTCAAGGGATGACCGTAGTCCTTTACCCAGTGGCTAAAGAATTCCCGAATCACTAAGTCAGTCCTAGCTTCCGCAGGTAATGCTATAAAGACAACAAACTTAATGAATCTGTCAACAATTACCATAACTTGTTTTTTCCCATTCCTGTTTTTTACCTTAGTGTCCATAAAATAAATAGACACAGAGTCTCCATGACCTGTTGGGATAGGCAATGGCTTTAATAGACCAAGGGGAGGTTGTGTGGTGCTCTTGTTTCGCTGACACACGTGACAACCTTGCACATACGAAATGCAATCAGGTTTCATTTGAGGCCATGCGTAGGAACGCAAGAGGTTAGCATAGACCTTTTTCCACCCGAAATGACCTTCAGTATCATGGCATTCCCCAAGATCACACTTTTTATCTCTTCCTCGTCTGGAATACAAAGCCTATCATTCACATCAGTTCTTCCAAACAACAGTCCATTAGTTACGCGAAAGTCAGGAAACTCATGTGGCACGTCTTGAATACATTTTAGTATAGTGTCATAGACAGGATCAGTGGAATATGCATTCTTAATTTTATCTTGAATGTCGGCGTCTATGTCTAAGTACGTTATAATGGCACAGAAAAAGTCAGATCTTCGACTCAATGCGTCACCAACAACGTTGTACTTACCTTTTAATGGCTTTAGTTCAAAATCATATTGATCGATTTCCGCAGCCCACCTTGTCAATTTAGGGGTCATTCGAGCCTGAGTTTTGAGCCAGCGGAGTGTCTTATGATCCGAGTACACTTTGAAGTGGCGACCTAGGAGATAATGGCGCCAACGGTCCAAAGCTTTCCGGAGAGCGAACAACTCTCTTTCGTATGTGGAAGCGGCGACCTTCTCACTAGGCAATCGTCGGGACATAAACTCAACAGGCCTGTATCCATTCCCATCATCTTGTTGGAGTACAGCGCCTATCCCGTACTTACAGGCGTCGGTGGTAACAACAAAGAGCAAAGAAGGACCAACAACTTTTAAAACCGGATAATCAATTACGCATTTCTTCAGACGCTTAAACGAGGACGCACAGTCTTGGTCCCACTTCCATATTGTTTCATTTTCCAACAGTCTGCGAAGGGGAGCAACAATTGTCGTAAAATGTTTCACGAATTTGCGATAGTAGTTAGCCAACCCAAGGAACAACCGTAGTTCCGTCAAAGTGCGTGGGTTAGGCCAATCTCGAATAGCTGGGATCTTGGCGTCTTCCGATTTAATTCCTTCTCCGTCTAGAATGTGTCTCAAATACAATACCTGACGTTTTGCCCACTCACACTTCTTGGGGTTCAATTTCAACTTTGTTTCACGCAACTTATTTAACACGAGTCGAAGGTGCTCACAATGCTCACTTAGACTTTTACTAAAAATCAAGATATCATCCAAATATATAACCACAAACTTATCAAGCCACTCACAAAAATATCCATTCATTGTTCACTGAAAGGTTGCGGGTGCATTAGTAAGACCAAAGGGCAACACAATGAATTCATAGTGTCCATACCCAGTGCGAAAAACAGTCTTATATTGGTCTTCTGGTTCTACCTCAATCTGATGGTAGCCATACTTCAAGTCAATTTTTCGTGAAGTACTTGCAACCGTGAACTCTATCCAGCGAATCATCAATTATGGGTACCTGCTCAACATTTGTAACAGTTATGTCATTTAATCTTCTATAATCAATACACATGAGGACCCCGCCATCTTTCTTTGGCACAAACAGCACTGGCGCACCATAGGGTGAGGAGCTAGGCCTAATCCATCCCTTTTCCACCAATTCGTCTAGCTGGGTTCGCAGTTCATCCAATCCTTTTGGTGACATTTTATAAATTGGACCCTTAGGAATCTGACTTTCGGGTATAATATCAATGCGATGCTTAATAGGTCGTTCTACCACACCGCTTAAGGCCTCTGCCACATCTGCGAATTCTTTCAGAATTTTGTCAATTTTTGGGGACTTTACCTCCTGCTTACTTCCCTTTCCTTTATCGGGTGCACATATGCCACAAACACCTGATCAATCAGATTATTTTTCTTTGTGTGACGAGCGAACGTGGGACAGTTATGCAACAATGAGTTAAGTTGCTTTCCTTACCAGATTCATGATACAGGCGGATCTTCTTTTTTCCACCCTTCGGGCTAGAGAGCCAACACTCATGTGCCCTCAACTTCACATTCGCATCTGCAGCTTCCCCCCAATCTGTGCCTAAAAGAGTGTCAAAAGGGAGACTGTCTTCCACCAAGAAAGTCAGAGAGTGGAGAACGCGTTCCACCTTCCCCTATGCTTCGAGCCGAAAGTATGTCTTGATCCCCTCAACATATTTGTCCATCACAATCTCGCTGTTATTTGTTAATATACTTGTTATGGGCTCATTCAATTGCTTAACCTTTAGCCCAAGACACAACTTTTGTAGACCTTTCTTACTAATGTAGTTCCGCGTTGACCCACATTCAATCATTCCACCTACTCTTACTTTATTGACTTCTAAATTTGCAATTCTTAGCTGCCCTTTACGTTTTTTCATTTCGGTCCAGGCTTGCCGACGAGTGGCTAACTCATCCCGCATGCCAGCGAGGGATCCACCTAGAGAGGTACACACACTAACTACCTCTGGACAACTAACTAGGTGGGGACTGTCT